ATGCTTTGTTTTTGTTTTGTAGAGATGCTGTTTTTTGAGTCACTGGAATGTTTAATCAGTTTGCTGTTCACAGGTCCCCATAGGGAAAGGGCTCACAGGTACCAAATGCAGTTGGGCCTGTAGCATTCCCACTTTTGGAAGATGGGTACTGCAGGCCAGAGATCCAGTGTGTCACTGCTGCAAACAAAGGTGTGACTTTTTTTTTTTTTAAATCTAGCTAGCGCAGCTAAAAACAGCAGTGAAGATGCAGCGGCGTGGGCTTTACACACTCCCCCAAAACCCTGGGTGTGTACTTGTGTGCCTAGCTTACACTGGGGTCTGTGCTGCCACATCTGGACTACTATTTTTAGCCATGTTAGCTAGCTTAAAGCTAGTGTGGCTAGGTCTACATGAGTTGCAATCACACTTTCAATTGCACTGTATACATCCCTCCAGTCTGAGTGATTGGACCATGGTACTGCCCAGGGTAAGGTGCAGAAATTCGGGCCTGTCTCTTAAGTGAGAGGGGTGCACTTAAGTGGGGGACTAAAACGATCAGAAGGTGCCGTTTGCCCGGTAATTGTGACACAGCACTTCCTGATGCACTATGTAAACAAGGAAGGAGGCTCTCGGTCATCCCCTCTCTATCAGGAAACAATCAGGATGTGGATATGGTGCCATTATTACAGAGTAATCCCATTTGCTCTGTACCTTCTAGGAGCCAGCAGTGACCTGGAAGACTTCTTAAACGGACATGTGGTAAACAACCTTGAGTGGTTGCTGCAGAATCCATCATGGACCTAATATTTCACCAGTACTGCACTTGAAATATGCTGGACTGGCAATTGATTTGTTGAAGTCCACCTTGCGGCAGTATTGGTGTTGCTCTCTGATACAGTCATTCTCTTTTCTCATCCGGTATCAGAATTCTCAAGGGCATCCTACCTACTTATCCACCTACTAGAGATACTAGTCCGATGTGGCATCTCAGCATTGTCTTCAAGCTCATAGAGCCTATTTCAAGCTGCCCTTCAATTGTTTGATTCATCATCGTACCCTCAAGACCATTTTTCTAGTTGCTATTGCCTCCAGCACGGAGGGTCAGTAAGCTCCAAGCCCTTATGACTGGATCTCTTCAGGGGCAAGGAGGTACGAAGGTAACACCTTCAGTTCCACCCTAAAGTGGTTTTGAAATTTCACCTATATCAGTCTATTAACTTACTACTTGTCTTTCCAAAACCACATGTGATGCCAGGGGAGAAGCTGCTTACTTTGGAAGTTTCAAGAGCCTTGCTTTATTATCTTGACAGGACTGAGCATTTTAGATTATCACCCCACTTCTGTGGCTATATCTGGCCTGTCAAAGGGCCAAGCTATGCTTTTGTAAAAGATATGCTCTAGGACTTATTTTGGTGAAGTTCTATGGCCTGCGTTGTACAGGAGGTCAGAGTAGTTGATCGCAATGGTGCCATCTGGCCTTGGAATCTGTGAACCACAGGGAGTCTCTTAAGTGGATCACACAGTGTCTTGCCATCCGTTGTCAATTAGCTTGTGAGCCTCTCTCCGAATGTCAAATCGTACTCCACCAGGGCTCGGGCATTAACAGAAATACCAGTATAGCTTATATCAAGGTAAATAGATGCAGCTACCTGAGTGGTGTCCACACTGCTGCACACGCTGATTTAAGCTACTTTGCCTTTGAAGTGCCTTTGTATCCACACTGTGCTCTGCTGTGTTGATCAAAGCATGTTGCACTGTGAGTAGGCATCTTAAGGTACTAAGTGCTACTTCTAGGTGCTACACTTTCTAGGTAACTTTCACAGCAGATTGTGGGATATTTCCTGGATGCTCAAAGAATCCTGGGATTAGTGCTCAGATTCATGTGATCTCTTTTTCTGAATCACAGTAATCTTTTAGTGGTCATTTGCCTCTCCCTGACAGCAGTTTTAAAAATGAAAGAAATGCAGACGAACACTTTTTTATGTATATTATTTATATCAGCAGGATGACCTTGTCTCGTAGGTAACCCTAGTTGATGTGCTTTTTGTACAGTTGTGTGAGGAAGCAGAGGAGGTTTCCAGGGAAACACTCCTATATAATCCCCTCATTGAGCATCTAAACTTAGTTAAGCAGTGCTTCTGAAGATGGTCTTGCTTGCTTGCTCTTCAGTTCTGCAGTTGGAGGTCATTCAAAAGAAACGATTTCCCACAGGCTTCACAATATAGTTGTGGGAAAGCTTATTTTTGCGAGGGGGGAAGGGGGGAAGGAGGGAGGAAGTCCTGCTATACCTAAATCCGGTTTCTAGAGTTGAAACTCCAAAGTTATTGGATCAGATTGGAACACACTTTCCAAATTCATTTTTTAAACTAAATATACCTCCCACTACACACAGGCCATATAGTCCTGCTGGCCAATAAAGTCCAGGGAACTATTTGTGTGAGTAAGTATATCGGATCACTGCCTGACTACGTTTCCTGTGTGGTTAGAATTGGAGGAATATATTTAACAAACTTAAACAGGGGATGTGGTCTGGGAAAAATGTGAGGCGGGGATGGAAGGGAACTGAAAAGAAAATTTATGACTGGGCAATTGCTGTTACTTTTTTTTAGATTTACCTTGATTTCTTCTGACTGGAGAGAATTTAGATCTAGTGTGATGTTTCTATGCGCTTTACGCTTGTTTTAAATGCGTAATATTCCTACGCAGGTTCTGGAAGAATTGAGGAAGTAGATAACTACCTTTTTGTTGTTGTTGTCATTGGTTTGACCAATAGGAGACTAAAACACAAAATAAATCTAAACCTGGTAGATTTAAAACACTAGATCAAGCTAAATACATTATTGTCCCTGGCAAACTCCTCTAGCCTTCACGTTTTCACTGAGCCTGGTATGAGTGTATTTTGCCTCTTGTTAAAGTGGCTGAACTAAGTGTTCCAAGGATGAAGCAGTGGCATCTACATTTTAAGATCAGTTTAATAGCAGTAACAAAGAATTAGGGGTTTTCTAGAGATAAACATTCTCAAAGTGCTCTCTACTGTCTCGTCTCGTAAACAATTCCCAGATGAAAGCGGGGCTCTTATTCCAAAGAGGATGCTTGAAACGAAGGGACGTATGTACAAAGGTTTAATTGCTGTTAATATCTGAACATGCTGTTTTCCTCTGTGCATATCTCTATCCAAGTATTCATATAAATTTTATTCCTTTCAAAGTAAATGACTGGAATCACAAATCTGAAGCTTTGAAAGCAAATACATCCTACCAGTGTGGGCATTATTCTTGTTGTAATTTAATGTAAGAACTTAAGGACCCTTAACGTAGGCTGCTCATGAAAATAGCATTGACGCATGAAACCTGGCAGACATCTTTTTAAAGCTCTACTTATGTACTGTACAGTATTTGAAACTTCCTGTTTACCTACAAATAGCTGATTAACTTCATTTATATTAAACCAGACCTCGGACGGCTTGTCTACTCTTACAACCATTTTCACGTCTGCTTAGTGAAGGTGCTACCTATGCTGAAAGGAGAGCTTCTCCCGTCAGTGTAGATATTCCACCTCCCCAGGTGGCAGTAACTGTCTACACTGGGGTTAGGTCAGTATAACTATGTCGCTCAGGGATGTGGATTTTCCACACCCCGAGTGATGTAGTTATGCTGACATAAATTCCTAATGTAGACCAAGCCTGACTAACAGTGTTTTGCATTTATTTGTGACCTAGATTCAAGAGAGTAGTACTATAAGGCGGTGGTTTTCAAACTTTTTTTTCTGGCCACCTAGTTGAAGAAAATTGTTGATGTTCATGATCCAACAGAGCTGGGGATGAGGGGTTTGGCATGTGGGAGGGGATCAGGGCTGGGGCAGAGAGTTGGGGTGAGGGCTCGGAGGGGTTCAGAGTGTGGGAGGGAGCTCTGGGCTGGGGCAGGGAGTTGGGGTGCAGCTGGGGGTGCAAGCTCTGGGGTGGGGCCAGGGATGAGGGGTTTGGGGTGCAGGATGGGGCTCTGGGTTTGGGGAGGCTCAGGACTGGGGCAGTGGGTTGGGATGGGGGAGGGGGTCTGGGTTGGGGGTGCAGGCTCTGGGCTGGGGCCGGGGATGAGGGGCTTGGGATACAGAAAAGGCAGGATTCTCGCCTGCAGGCACGCCTCCCAGCTCCCATTGGCTGGTTCCCGGCCAATGGGAGTGTGGAGCCAGTGCTCGGGGCAGAGGCAGTGTGCGGAGCACCATGGTCACCCCTGCCTAGGAGCCGGGCCTGCTGCTGGCCGCTTCCGGGGTACAGCGCGTTGTCAAAACAGGTAGGGACTAGCCTGCCTTTGCCAGGTAGCACCACAGATGGGACTTTTAACAGCCCTGTCGGCGGTGCTGACCAGAGCTGCCGCGACCCAGTCCCTTCCATTCTGCGACCCAATTGTGGGTCATGACCCACGGTTTGAAAACCACTGCTATAAGGTGTGAGATTTTAGTGTAGTAAGAGGGGATGGTACTGTGCCCATGAGTGTACATTTGGGCAGAGATATTTACTCTTTTTTTTTTTCTGTTCTACCCTCACACCCTGCCAACACACCCTCTAAAAAAAATGCCTGTCCTTATATTGACCCAAATTTCCAAATCCCTGGATTAGATGATTAATCTAGGACTGTGTCTCTAAAGTGGCTGACTTTGGCTTTTGCTAAACAGAGAGACTGAATTCCAGAGATTCTTCTGCTGATTTACAGACAACCCTCATTTGGACAAGTGAGCATTCCAGGCCCTTTGAGCAGGGCATGAGAGATAAATAGTCTCTAAAATGTCTGGGTCCCAATTAATTTTGGGCTCTCTAAATGTTAACTAACACCTTGAATTGTATTTGGAAATATCGGTAACTTTTTAAAAAACAGTCTTACATTTAAAAAAAGTCACAGCACACAGCAAGATAACTTCCTTGATTTGAAATGACTAGATACAGTATGTAATGCTGTGACCATTTCCGAATGAAAGGTGGTCTTCTACATCACAATTGTTAACCATGCATTTGTTTGTTTCTGCAGAAATTCCTGAAATTCCAGAAAGCATCTCCTTTTGCAAAGCATTACAAGTAGCAGACTTCAGTGGGAACCCACTGACCAGGTAACACTCCCCCTTATGCTAAGTGCTTTCCAGGCCAGCACTACAATCTTATTTAACTTGCTCAGTTCTTAAAGTAAATATAGTGTGTGTCTGAGTCATGCAGGGTCTATTTCTTCCACAGGGTGGTGGCCAAAGATCAGAGTTACAGGGACAAGTGCACCCTTTTTTCCCAGGGGTTGAAGATTACAGGCTACTCAGAACAAATGTGAATTTAGTCAGTACTTAAGAACACAAATCCAAATGATAAAAAGCCTGGCAAGAAGGGCCAGCAGTATAAACCAGCAAAGCTATGGTTCTATATTTTTCCACTGTCATCTGTTCCTTTCATCTCTAGCCTTTGTCTATACGTGGGATGTAGCAGTCAGTGACCAGCAAACCAGTGTAGCTGTACTGGCATAGTTTGACTGCTTAAAATTAGGGTTAATTCAGCAGGTGCAAATAATGGCTCTCCTTGACTACGCCTGAGGCTTGCACCCATGCCGTATCCCTAGCCACTGAATTAGGGCTAATCCAATATATTTATACGTGACATGTGGCCATACTGTTCTCCATCTGATGGTGACTGCTGCTTCTCTAATATCCATATTCCCTCCCTTGGTGCAATTGCATGGTTGCAGTGAAAGCAGTTCATAGTGGCATTAGTCACTGCTCCCTCCTGTTTTGGCCTAGGAAAGAGTAATAGTTGATGGTAGTTCTTCGTCTCATGTTCTGTACAGCACCAAATAAACTGTAACTGATCATTTTAAGAAAGCGTCCTTTAGATGTTTCTTGATTGGCTCTTGATTGGCTCAGTTTGGCAGGATTCGCTTGATTGCTGTGACTCTGATTCAGCCTAATGAATTAGTGTTCTTTACCCCACCACTCCACATAGCAAAGGAGAAGGACAGGCTCTTGGACAATCAAGATGATTGATAGAGAAATCAAATAGGCAGCAAATGAATGATAGACAGGGACTCTGTGCAGGAGCAGCTAGGAGAAGTGGGGCTCAGCTCAGCCTTCAAGTGCTGAGTTGCTACTAGGTGCTGCAGCACCTACTATAACTTCCTTTGCCCTGGCTGGTTGCATCTAGCAAGAAGGGGGTAAAAGGAAAGCCTCTAATGCATTGTGACTGTCTCTAGACGTTTAGAAATAGGGAGGGAATCCGCATAAGTGATCCTTCCCTGATGGAACAGAGTAGCATGTTTGTCATGTAGAGAGGGCACCAATCCAACATTGCATAGACACAGGGCCTTCTGCCTGTAGCCGTCCTTCTTCCTACCCTGGAATATTTAGGCTAATGTTGCCTAATATGATGGGACTATATAACATGGCCTAAGCCATAGCATTCTCTAACTAAGTAATAGTTGTCGTGTCCATGCTAGCAGTAAAAGCATTGTTGTGGATATCACAACTGTGTTCTGGCTTGTTACACTTGTGCTGTTAGGCCCTGTGCTGCTCTTGTTATTCAAGCAAAGAATTAGTTTTCTGATCCTTCTATATTTCATGTAACAGTGTTTAAAAGGATTACTCGTAAGCTGAATCCTTCCCTATTTCCTAAACTGTAAAGAAAGTCACAAGGTGTTAGAAAATAACAATAAGCTTCTATTTGCTGGGGTTTAAAATGAGGAGCAATATGCAGCACACTTCTTGATGAAGGGAGAACAGTTGTATTGTATTGGGGGGTGGGGAGCCACTTAAAATGATTTACTGAAAATAAATATGTATTGGTCTTTGTCTAATATATTATATTGCAGTCAAAACAACTACATGAAAAGAACTGTAAGGTTTCAAAATTCAGGGTTCAAAAGCTGTAAAATGTCACAATTTAAGGTTGCTTGGTACAATTTTTAATTCTGTCTCCTTGTGCATATGCATTATGACAACCTTCAGTTATATCACACACTACTTTTTCCACAGGACCCATACCTCTGTCAGTGCACTGGATGGATGGGTGCTCACAGAATGAGCAGCTGTTCAATATTTTGTTTTCTTCTCATTGTTCAATATGTAGCCCCAAGTTTTATTTACTGCACAGTATTGAAGTCTTGCTCTGAAGACAAAATTATTAATTTCCTTGTGGGTTTTAGTATGGTGATCATCACAATAGAATCTGAGTGCTTCAGATATTTATTAATTTACCTTCACAAAACCCTGGTGAGGTGGTGGTATTATCCCTAGATTACAGAAAGCAAATGGGACACTGAGGGACTAAGGTAAAAACTGTCCCCTTATCTTGGATGCCCAAATTGAGAATGCCTTAGAACTGGTTTTGAGATTATTTAGCATTTTATAGCATTTCATACGTTCCAGCACAGCTCTTATGCGTACTCAGCACTTCTGCATATTAGATTCCAAGGTATCAAATTGGGTATCCAGAAGCTGAAGAACACACATGACCAAAATGTTCATGTTTTGGCCACTGAGTTCCTTGCCGAGCATCACACAGGAACTCTGGCAGAGGCAGGGATAGAATCCAGTTCTCCTGGGCAATGTTCAGTTGTCTTAACCACGAGACCACCCTCTGTCTTCTTGCAATTCCCTGCCTCATTAATTACTCACCTTCCAACTTCTGCAACAAATGAAACAGAGGTCCTATAGACAACAGCCTCTTTTACTATACAGTCCTGATTAAACCCTGGAGCATAGGTCATCCTGTGCACTGAATGAGGAAGGGATCATGTGGAAAATATAGTATGGGATCATGTAATTTGTGTACACATTAGGATACAGTCTTTAAAGGGGTTGAGTTAAGGTTGCACAGGCAATTTTCTAACTTTTGAATGCTTGACTATTTGTAGCTTTCTAGGTGTAAAAAACAAACCAGAAATTCAATTCCATGGAACCATGTTGACACTCAAATGGTTGCAACATTTAGATCCATTGCACAGACCTCTGCCACTTGAATTAACAGAGTAAACTGACAGAGGATAACAACTTATTACTGGTTGGTGGACTAGCACTAGAGGGAGTCGGACACATTTTGCCAGTGAGTCTCTCAGCTATTTGCTGACACCAGAGAAATGTTGAGACTTGGGAATCTTGGGTTTCAATCTGGATTTTGGTGGAGAGTGTGCTGTAGTGGTCACACATCCTTCTGCCCTGTCTCCTTCAGTCTAGCCAGTCCTGATCAACTCCTTGCATCCCCTCTCAGGTCAGATTCTTGTCCGCTCTGCATTGAAGTTAGGTGGCTTCTTCCATAGCACTGCTTGGGATCCAGCAAGCAGGAGCATTGAGAGAACAGGAAAAAATTTCCTTGCATTTCTGGTCTGATGCCATAACAGCCCAGCAGGTCAGAGCAGCAATTGCAGGGAAAGTCCTGCTCAGCCCCGACAGCCAGGGCCTGAGTATGCTCAGTACATATGGAATCTTTGGAGGATCATAGAAGATTAGGGTTGGAAGAGACCTCAAGAGGTCATCTAGTCCAGTTTTTTCTGGATCATTTTTTTCCTGTTTGTATTTCCAGTATTTATAACACTACCCAATGTAATAATTTTCAGTTTTAAAAGTGGCTGTCAACCAATTTTTTTCCATTAGATTTTTATTTATTTAGGCCCTTTCTTTATGTATAAATCTATCTCAGGCTAGGCATTTTGACTAGCTTTTAAAAAAGGTAAACTCTACCAGCTAAATAAGCCTGCAATTTAACCCCAGCCTTCAAACAATTAGAAACCAAAAAAATCAATTGACATTTGAAAATGCACTGATGTCCCCTGAATCTGTGAAAAGAAATAGTTCTTGCTGCATGCCCTAAAGATAGCTCATGTTAACAAATCTTATCTGATCACTAGGCCAAAAGGTCTCTGCCTGTTCTACATTAGGTCGCCTTTTCCTTAGCATGATCCATCTCCCACATAGCTGGGATCAAGCCCCTTGGTATTTAGCAGTATGAGATGGCTAGGATGGCTGCGCAATGTGTTCCATGCTTTAGACATCTTTAACAAATAGTTAAAAATACAAAAGAGGCTGCTCCATAACCTAATATTGAAACAGGTGGCATGAAAAAATAAATTTCCCATGCTTCCGAAACCATAACTCTTCCCTCACAGGTTTCAGAGTAGCAGCCGTGTTAGTCTGTATTCGCAAAAAGAAAAGGAGTACTTGTGGCACCTTAGAGACTAACCAATTTATTTTGAGCATAAACTTTTGTGAGCTACAGCTCACTTCATCTCACTTCACTTAGTCTCTAAGGTGCCACAAGTACTCTTTTCTTCTTCCCTCACAATATATGCTGCTTCAACAGCTTTTGAATGTATCTTTTGTGGTGGTCTTCTTATATGGGATATGCGTTGCCTTAATACATACAAACAAGAAGAAAATTAAACCCATTTGGTTTACTTTTAACTTTTTTCTTTCTAGTGCTTTTCCCTTTGTCTTAGTACTATTGTTTAGCTTTTTATATAAGAGCCACCTCATATCCTTTTCCACCAACTATATACAATCTGACTGTGCCAATATGAATAGTTATTGTAGTACAAGTGTTTGATTTATCCGAATTAATATCTCCATAGGTTGCCTGAAAGCTTTCCGGAATTACAGAATCTAACGTGTCTTTCTGTAAATGACATCTCACTGCAGGCACTACCTGAAAACATTGGGAAGTAAGTTGTTTGTTTTTTTTGTTTTTTTTTTTTTTAATCAAGATATGATATTTAATTTGTTTTCACTGACTTAGATGTGGTACACCAGGTGTATGCAAAAATGTAAAGATTAAATTTACAAGTATGTTACACAAATTAGTAATTGATTCAGGGTAATACGTTTTTTTTAGTCTGTTTAAAAACCTTCTCTTGTGTTCCTATCAGTCACTCCATTGAGGTGACTGCGCTGAACTTGGGGTATATGTGCATATGTTTAGTCTTTGGGAGGTACAAATCTAGGGAGTTGGGAGAAGCTGGACAGACTAAAGGATAAAAGACTAAAAGGATGTTATCAGTTTGATAATTGCACCTCTGTTCAAACTTGTTACCTGCAATTCTTCATCATGCTGAGAGCCACAGATCTATTACAGTGAGTGCCTGAGCCTTGTTGCAGCTCACAGAGAGACCCAGATCTAGCAGCAGGAGAATGCCCCACCCGCTGAAGTTCCACACAGTTTTATGTGCTTCTGCAGTGGCTGGTGGCTCTGACCGTTCCCCCTGCCACAGAGCTTGTCTGAGGGAAATTGCAAACTTCTGTTACAAATTTCCAACCACCAGTCTGGGTTAGTCTTTGTCCAGTTCCCAACAGTGTCCCACTGCTGCATTTGCCTTTTTGGGGAGACTTCCCCCCAGCTTTTCCTCCCCCCCTGAGATATTTGCAGCAGCTGGTGCCCTGCAGGCTTCAGGGAGAGTGCTACACCGAGAAGAAAAAGGCAAAAGGAAAGGTCTGTTTCTCCTGTGTTTCCCTTTATTGTGTGTGTCTCACTGGGGAGCTTAGCTGGCTCCGAGGGTAGAGTGCAGTTCATCTCTTCAGTCTAGTCCAGGCAGGGTTGATTAGGATCTTCATGCTTTTGTTGTTCGTTCCTGATGGCTCACCAAATTTGATGGCCTGTTGTCTGATGGGTGTCTTCCCAATACACACCCAGTTGTAATGGTTACATAGTCCATATTTCTAATTTTAGATTCAGAATTGATACATGCATACAAATTGGATAATCACATTCAGTAAATTATAACCTTTCCACTGATACCTTACAAAATCCATCTCGCATAAAGTACATCTCAGTTATGTCATATCTGTAACATAAGCATATTTCCATAAAGAATATGGAGTGCAACATCACAGCGCCATTTATTACTTTCTGGTCTCCCGGCTTCCATTTTATAAGGGCATGATGTTCGTTTAGTGTGCACCAGTCCAAATTCAACCTGGTGTCACTTCTGAAGTTAAACTTAACTGTCTTTCATGGTGGTCAGGGACTCAGCATTTCAAACTGGGGAAGATATTTTTTAACCTAATAGAGTGGCCTCCTCACTATAAAAGCCTTTTGTAGGCAGCCAAGTCCAGGCAGGTGTCACCTCAGCTCCTTCTTATGGGCATGAAAGCTCTCAGTTGGCATCAGCCAAAAAAGAACTTCATACTTTTTTTTTTTTTAAATTTAGACACCTTTCTTATGCTTTCACAAACCATGCTAACTTGGATCATACCTCCCATACTGACCACCTCTCTTGACCCGAAATATTCCCTATTGTAAGGAGTTCTTCCTGAATAGATAGTGGGGAAACAAATCTGTTTAATGTAGGCCTTTGTCATTGAGATCAGACACTTGGACAAGTCAGTTCTCCACTCTCATCATGTTGTAGTGGGAAAACTTGATGAAAAGCTGAGACAACTCCGGAGTTATTGGGGAAAAATAGACTTACAATCCTGGCTGCTGCCAGACACTACTGCAAGGAATACAGATAACATGACAAGCAGCCCCTGAAGTACAACGAGGGATTGCTGGTTTGCAAGGGGTACCTGGAACAAATATAGGATGCTCTGGCAAGGTCAGTAGTTGCCCTCAGTTGCCTCAGAACAATCTGTTAGACTCCTGACTGGTGCTGGGCTCTTTCATTTTGAGAATAAATGGCTGCCTATAGCTTTCCTCAAAATGAGGTCACTGGACATTGTCGAGAAGGGCTACTCCTTGGAGCTGTGCTAGAATTACAAGCACAGGTTTGTCCCTTTTCTAGTCTCTAGTAGTCTATGGGAATGCCAGGGCAGGAATGAAATCCTACATAATCTACTTCAGATCAGAGCAATATCACCATTCTCCATCATGGCTGTTCCTTGTACTGTGTCTAGCTTTAGAGAATTGGGAAGAAATAGACTGACCCCAGTTGGAACACCTGAAGTTCCTAAAGAAGGCTCACATTCTAATGTTATCATTCGTCAGACAGCTCTCCAGCTTGGCATACGGATCGTGAACTATTTTCTTCAAAACTGATTGTTACCCTTTGATCTGACAGATGCTTCCAAGGTCTCTTCCAAGATCATGAGAGTATTAATATTGGCTTTAAGGAAAAAGGGCGTTCACTCTTGTCTGTTCCTGGAAAACTCTGCTCGTCTGGGCTCTGTTTAGAAAGTTGAGACAAACCTGTAGTGATACGGCTTCTGGAGTATTGTGGATTCAAGATAAAACAGATGTATGGTGCCAGGGACTCAGTCATTGGTGTGGACTGAGGATGAATTCTATTAGTAAAAGGTCTTATGGCAAAGAATGTTAACATCAGATATAGATGGTCATAAGGGAAAACTAGTGTGTCAGAAACAATAATCTATTTCTTAGTGAAGCTTGTTGGGAATGCTGTGCACAGACACTTAATGAATCGGAGTTCACATGAGCCCTACCCAGTAATTTGTGTTCTCTTCCGCATCTCACTTGAAATAACGTTTGTTGACAGAGGTCAAGGTCCTATTGTCTTTTTTTCCACTCCGCTCTGTGAATTGGGGAGTGCAGATAATGAGATTTTTTTTTTTCCAAAAGGGTCCACTCTTAGTGTGGTAGGCAAAGAAATCTTTTGTCAGATGTTAGCAGGAGTTAGTGGAGAGGACTCTTTCAGGTCCCAATTCTATCCAGGAAAATAGGTCTTAGAACGAAAGCATAGCATCCACTGGCTGGAACACAATGATTTGAGGTCTCGGTGTACTCTTCTTCCCATTGATAACAGACTTGTTCTGGTTGTGACAGTCTCTATCTGATGGGATTTTCATAAGTAAAGTAGAACACAGTAAGCCCATCCCTAGAGAAAATCAGCTTCTGTCCTGGACAGACCAGAGTTTCCTGCCTTGATGTGCACTTCCCATCAAATGGAGGAGGAGGAGGAGGATGATTACCAAGACTTACGTGGCAGAAGTCCAGATCAAGCAGAGTGGCATTTGGATCCAGAAATATTCTTGCTGATTATAAGTCAATTTGATGGGCTGATGATTGATCTCTTTGCATCTGGAAATGGCCATTAAGTGCCCTGTGGCCTCTCCATATGTCAGGTTCTGGGTTCAAGGTGATGGATGATCCCTTGCAAAGCTGGGTAAGGTCTCTGCTCTTTGCCTACTCACCTCTTTTCCACTTCTCCCCAGGACAAAAGATAGGAAAGAGAGTGTGGCAGTGATGTTGGTTATGTCTTACTGGTTCTTGGGCTTGATTAACCGAACATTGGACCGTTGGCTGTGTCTGCCTGAGGAGGTCTGTTATTGAAAAAGCAATCCTTGACCCAGGAACAGATAGGTTCAAAATGGATGGTTGGATGAAGTGATCATCGTTCTCATGGATTCTAGAAAGAAATTGACACTCACAGCAGCACTATGTAATAACTAGGCCATCCCTGATAGGTGTGTCTAACCTGTTCTTAAAAACTTCCAATGCTGGAGATTCCACAACCTCCCTAGGGAATTTATTCCAGTGCTTAACCACCCTGACAGTTTGGAAGTTTTTCCTAATATCCAACCTAAACGTCCCTTTCTGCAATTTAAACTCATTGTTTCTTTTGCTATCCTCAAAGGTTAACAAGAACCATTTTTCACCCTCCTCCTTGTAACAACCTTTTATGTACTTGAAAACTCTTATCATGTCCCCTCTGTCTTCTCTTCTCCAGACTAAACAAACCCATTTTTTTCAATCTTTCCTCATAGGTTATTGATTCTAGACTTTTAATAATTTTTATTGCTCTTCTCTGGACTTTCTCCAATTTGTCCAACTCTTTCCTGAAATGTGGTGCCCAGAACCGGACAGAATACTTCAGCTAAGGCCTAAGCAGTGCAGAGCCTTAAATTCCTCCGGGGGGCTCTAATGTAGGTGTTTGAGACTGTCCAAGCAAAAGGTAACATCTCTGTACTATAATGTTCTCAGCATGGTTGAGAGAGAATTTTTTGTACAAGCCCTGACACTAAATGCTTCTGTAGAGCAGCTTCCCTGGGTCCACTCCAAGACTATAGAGCCCAACCTAGGAAACTCATTCTGCTCCTTCCAGCACTTTACCCCTGTCATAAATATAAAAGGAAGGGTAACCACCTTTCTGTATACAGAACTATAAAATCCCTCCTGGCCAGAGGCAAAACCCTTTCACCTGTAAAGGGTTAAGAAGCTAAGATAACCTCACTGGCACCTGACCAAAATGACCAATGAGGAGACAAGTTACTTTCAAAGCTGGACCGGGTGGGAACAAAGGATCTGTCTGACTGTGTGATACTTTTGCAGGGAACAGATCAGGAATGCTCTTCGGAACTCCTGTAAAAAGTTAGTAAGCAATCTAGCTGGAAATGCATTAGATTTCCTTTTGTTTAAATGGCTGGTAAAATAGGTTGTGCTGAATGGAATGTATATTCCTGTTTTTGTGCCTTTTTGTAACTTAAAGGTTTTGCCTAGAGGGATTCTCTGTGCTTTGAATCTGATTACCCTGTAAGTATTTACCATCCTGATTTTACAGAGGTGATTCTTTTACTTTAATTAAAATTCTTCTTTTAAGATCCTGATTGCTTTTCCATTGTTCTTAAGATTCAAGGCTTTGGGTCTGTGTTCACCTATGCGAATTGGTGAGGATTTTTATCAAGCCTTCCCCAGGAAAGGGGGTGTAGGGCTTGGGGGTATATTCTGGGGGGGAAGACATCTCCAGGTGGGGTCTTTCCCTGTTCTTTGTTT